CCAAACATACAAAAAGTAGTAAATTTAGTTACCAGGGAACTTAAAACAAATCTATTTTAAGCCTCAGAGTTTTGCCTGTTAATGGGTTATACAGTATTAAAACTTATGCCATTACCAGAAACCGCGTCAGTGGATATTGAACTCATGACCTTGAGTATGCACTTCAATGCTCCTAAACCGCTGTGCAACGGCCCACAACTCTTGATCCAGACATGATGGTTTTTACGAATATTAACTGTTCCCTATGTTGGCGTGTTGGTTAGCCACGTGCTTCTATCAATATAACATGCCCGTGGATGTAAATAAACAGAAATAGCACACCCCGGAGGAGGGATTTAATTTTTCTACTTACTTGTTTCCTGCATGGAACTTGTTGTGGTATAAAGGGCAGCTTAATTACTTATATATATATTGTCTAATAAATATTTATACATTAATTCCTACTTTGGCTATACATATGTTTACGCTTTTATTGCCACTACCAGTGACAGGTGCCCTTCTAGGAATAGCACGTTTACTAAAATATTGTCAATTCTTTTCCTGCATGCCGTGAGAGGCCATTTCATTGACCGCGACATGTATAATGATTATTATTTGTTCAAATTTAAACGACACTCAAACCCTTAGTACTAAAATTGCTGCCGCAAACCTAAGGACACTTTTACGCATATACTCATTTCATTTTTTATAAATTTGTGCATAAATATGTTGTTTTTACATAATTCTACACCATACATATTCATATGTTATTAATCTATTATCTACTCCTGTTAAGTTTTAAAGAGTGCATAACTGCTTTATAAAGTGACTATTAATTTATCAAAAAACTATTTAGCAGGTAGTAAAATACTTGCTTTAGTACATCTGGGTATAATAAGCAGAATTTTTTCGTAGGCATTAATTAGAAGTACCTCAGGTGTTTTAATAAAGTTAAGTCATCTCCTATGTAACCTTACGTATTCTGTTAATAATAATAATCTTAATACCCAAATTATATGCCTCAAAATGTTCCCAGTATAAATATGAAATAGTTTTTTTAATATGACTTTTTCTTACTTCCGTTACTGGGTAAGATTTCAGAGCGTAGAGTATATCTAAACATATTATTATGATCCTTTCATCGCACTCTTTTGCGAGAAGTTCTGGTTTCAGTTTACTCGATAACTCGCTTTAAAGCTATTCTTTATAAGCAGTAATTTAGCAGTGGTAGTAAGAGGTTGTCTTTCATCTAAAGGTTTACCATAATTTGTCTAAGTAATCCTATAAACTTTTATAAGTAGTTGTTATTTGTTCCAAGTAGGTTTCATATTATAAGATAAAAAAATATGTGGTTACAGTTAAAATGATCAAAAAATTTATGGTAGCCTCGTATAAATTTGAAAGGTAGACAGTTTGGACGGGGAGCACATTAACATTATATTTACGTTATTTAAAAATATTTTATCATGCCCAGTTTATAAATATATTAAGAATCGGAATTTGGCGGGTCTCGTTGGACATTTCTTAAATCTTTTAATTGAATTCACGAAAAGCTGCTTACTTAAAACCTTCTAAACATTATGCTTTCAAACTAAGTCTTTCAAAAGTTGTATAATATTTTTTTTAAGATTTTAGAGCATCAGTAGAACGAGACTAGCTAAATGCAGTCTTTACTAAATTTAATTATAGAATTGAGTTTTCACCACACCAAAAAGTAAGCCCCACCTTAAAAGGGGGCAGGGGTATCCAAATAAATATTTATTTGTTTTCTAATAACAGAAACCAAACTTTTCTTTTCAGCACTTACTATTTAATTCTATGTGCTTATAATAAAGATTAAGAGTTGCAAGGTGATTATTAAGTTACCTTAATGCTATATGCAATGTGATTATGATATGAAAAAAATACTTAAACACCATTTTGTAAAAAAGTAAAGATAATACTTGCTACAGACACAGCATAAGAAATTTTTTTATTCGTACAGTTATAATTACAGATTAAGAACAATACCGCCTCTTTCACTCCAAAAATTAACGAAATGATCACCGTTTTGAATGCATTTACTACTTATTACAGGTAAAGTAATGATTGCATTTTTGCGCTCTCTAGCATAATAGACTTTTACTAGAACCTCGTCTTTAGTCTATGTTCGGCTTTGGATATAACCCAGTTATTCGAATATTCAATATCCCTTGTAACGATACAGAAATTCAATTTAAGATTTACAGTTGGATATTTATATGAACAGAATTTTATAGGAAAGCCAACTTTCACTACCACGCAAATAATAGCAAAAAAAACTGAAGCACTTTAACTAAGAGCATTCCTCAGATTGATAACAAAACTTTTGCTTGCTATAGCTTAAAACATGGATCAACAGCGTTAAAATTTCCACAAACACATGCCAAAAAGAATTACCACCTAAAAATATTGTTTACTAATAATAATTTAATAATATATGTAAGCGCAGCTAAAACAATCTTATTTGATGTATACATAAGGCACATTCAACTTTTGTTTTTATTTCTAACTTTCCTAATTGAGTGAGTTAGTGCACCTATATGTATTTTTTGTTTAGACCCCCTTCATTTAACATAATAACACTTGGTCTATGCACTTGGTTATCCCAAGAGAGCTTACCATTCCGTGCGTTTAACTCACCACTAACTATTGGTTTAACCTAACAGGAAATATAAAAATTGTGCCTACTATTTTTTATTAGTTGTTTATGTAGGTTTAACATATAGAAAGCGTGTATGATAAGTTTTAAAAAGCATAATTAGTTAATTAAATACGTTAAGATTTACATAATTTTTTATGATTACTTTTAGGCTGCTGGGGTGGAGCACTTAAATTTAAAAAAACTAAAAGTCGGTAGTGTGGAACAAATGGCGCACTGTTTATAACGTTTAACGTTTAAAAGTATATATATTCACTTCCCCACTAAAATTTTATTTTGCCCTACCAAACTTAAAAAAACATGTTACCAGGAAGTAGCTTTAAGTTTCACTGTCCGTGTTGTATCCCTAATGATGCATTTATTAATTCATTAACCCGTTTTCAGTTGGCGACTAAAAGGGTTCTTCGTTAAAATATTGCCACATCGCACCCACTCATTTATGTTAGTGCAGACCCTGCGCCAGCAACAAGCAACATTCTGTTACTTTACCACAAAAGGTAAATAGATGTTCGTACTTAAGTTGATTTCACAGGCTGTAAGTCTTCGAAAACTTGTTTATTATAGGCAGTAAAGTAACATAATATAGATAATATAAAAAAAAAAGTATATTATAAATAATAAAGTGATATAATATAAGAAAGTCAAAGTACTAGAAAGCACTGCAAATTTATTTGTGTATTATAGACCCTCCAAGCCATCAAACCCAAATGCATAACAATCCACCAAAAAGAAAAAAAAAACCTCGGCGGGTGAGTGAGCTAAACTTATATAATCACATGTGCGCTTCCCTTGTATGTTACCCTCTTATTATAAACATAAAAACTCTACAAGTTGGACTACCTCGACTAATAGTTAAATTTTTATTAATTTTGCATATTTACTTTGTGATAACACTACATGGAATTGCGAACAGATAAAATTGTTGTAATTTAAATATATTCAGTAAAAGGCTTTCAGGTCATCTTTTTATGCCTTACCTTGAACTTTTTAACTTTATTTTGGCGGAAAAACTAGTATATATGCACTATATTTGTTCTAGCAAATAATATGTGTTTTAAACTAAAAATTCCTGTTAGTTTTCTTTTAATTAAAAGTAAAAAGTTTTTAAATACATGAAAAGGGTTAATCTTACTAACTTTAACACCAAATAACTTAAGCGGGGGAGATAGGTAAAGAAATAAAACTTTAAAAGTTATAGTTGAATTCCTTGTTTTTAATAGCGGTATATTTGAGGAGATTTTATTTCCCAAAGGCTTTTGACCTCCTTCAAGTCTAAGTCCATCTCAAAAGTAATATCGAATATTTAATTTTCTTTTAAGCAATTTCATAAAATACAATGGGTGAAGAATTACACATTCATCTCAAGCAACTAATAAGAGTGTAATCCCATTAACTGATAGCTCTCAAACTGGGGAATACTCGCAGGTACCTTAAAGTTATAACTTTAAAGCTTTTGTCTTTTTTTAAAAGTTTAATTTAGAATGAATCATTAAAACTTGATTTTTACAAAAATTTGAAAATTACTAAAAAATTAAAGTAACTATTAAGAAAAAGAATTTTGCAAAAGAAAAATATATCTATAATAATTGTTCCCCCTTTCTGTAACTTCGATAACTCCGCACTTAAGCTAACACAAGCATCATTAGCCGGTTTGATTGTCACGTCCGAGGCCGTGATAAACGAGTACAGTTTAGGAGAAAAGACGTGAAGAATATTTAAAAGTTTTAAGAGAAAGAGAGGGAAATTTAAGGGAAACTTTAAAGCTCTTTAGTTTAATTTAAAAAACAACTACAGAATTATGTCAACATTAATAAAAATTTGGTAGGGGTTGCTTAATTAGTATCTAAAAATAAGTAAAATTGCTCATACGTCAATAATAATTACATATAGGGATTACTGAACGAAGTATCAGAAAATTCAAAAAGGAATTAAGCACATTAAAATGTTCGTTGAGTACAAAAAAATTTTTATAATATTCATAACTCGAGAGCAAAGTAGATATAAACAACCTGATGATAATATAATAAAAAGTGGAAAGTTATTAAATATCTCTTTCCATCATTTTTATTAGTATAATAAGTTTTCTAAAATATATATAACCATAACAAACACATTGAATAGTGCTGAAAAAGAGGACAACGAGCGCATTACTTAATTTGCCTAGTTTTGTATTACTATTATTTTTAGCACACGACTAATTGTTTAATTGTACCCAAATAGGATGGGTGCTAACACAACTTGGCCTGCCCTAACATAATTTTTTCGGCATATAAAAGCGGTTAATTTAGCCTCCTTCAAGCCTCCCGCCGGCTTTTTTATAATACTTGCGCTCTGTCGCTCTTACTGTGCTACATTTCTTTTGGTCAACCTAGTTTTTTATAAAAACTTCACTCACTGTATTTGAAAGCAATAAAAAAATTATTAACGTATTCGTATAACAACGTAAAATTAATTAGAATGAGTTGCCTTGCTGTCTATAATAACAATACTCCATTCAAACCTATTAATGATTTACACTCCTTTAAAACGCCCGTAAACGGTTCTTGCAAGAAAACACCTTCAGGTAGGAAGCGTCAAACCCCACTAGCAGATCGCTTTATTCCAAGGCGGGAAACTTCGGATTACGAAAATAGTCAAGTAAGTAGCTTTTAGTTATTATTAACTTTACTATTCTTTCAACTTTTAACGTTTTTTACTGTTTTTATTTATTAGGTATTATATAAAGAAACTTTATTTAAAGAAAATGCGGTTCCCATTGAAGCCTATGAAACTCCTCTCTCGCCCAATTCACTGGAATACCACGATAATTTACAATTCGCGTTAAATACAGACCCTGAAGCAAAAGTTTTAGCTTACCAGCAGAAGGCTCCAGCTCCGAAGGAAGGACATCTCAACAGCAACCGGATACTTTATAGCCATAACAGGTTCCACTTAATGGCACTTGTAGATTAGTTTTGTACAGATTACCAATTATTTTAGATTTGATAAGGTTAAAAATAGTTTTCAAGCGCCACGAATATCAAGAAAAATTCCGCAAACAGCCGACAAGATTTTAGACGCTCCTGAACTTTTGGACGATTACTATCTCAATCTGTTAAGCTGGAATCAGTCCACCAACATTTTAAGTGTCGCTCTTGGTTGTTCCGTTTACTTATGGGATGCCAGTAACGGCGGTATAGCCAAACTAATGTCTTTGAATGCTGAAGATAACTACATCACTTCCGTAGCAATTTTTAAAACAAAAATTTGAATCGTAATAATTTTCTTTTTCCGTTGGCAGGTACAGTGGGTCAACGAGGGAAACGTATTGGCTCTTGGCACCGACACACGGGAAGTTCAATTGTGGGATGCTGCAGAACTCAAGCTGCTGCGTGTGATGCACGGACATTCCTCTCGCGTGGGCTCTCTGTCGTGGAATCAGCACCTTCTTAGTTCTGGAAGTCGAAGTGGGGAAATTCATTTTCACGATGTTCGGGTTCACAATCATCTTTTGGCGAGATGTCAAGGTTGTTGGTTATATAAAGCTTCATATATATATGTGCACGGCTAAATTTCCTATTATTACTATTAGGGCATAGCCAAGAAGTATGTGGCCTTCAGTGGAGCCCTGGGAACACTCAACTGGCCAGTGGCGGTAATGATAACGTGTTAAACATCTGGGATCCCCATAAATATACCAGTCCGCTTTTTTCCCTTACTGATCACCAAGCCGCCGTGAAGGCAAGAATTATTATCACTATTATTACTATTGTTGTTATTGTTATTGTTATTGTTACTCATGTTCTGCGCTATTTCATTTATAAAACTTTTAAGAACTCTTCGTTCTTTACTGTATCATAAATTAAATCACTCTAATCATTCATTTTTAAACTCCTGTTATTTTTTACTTAATTTTTTAATACTATTATTAAAATACTTTCCTTACAAACCTTAAAATATCCATTATTCTATTTTTATAATTTATTTATAAATAATTATTTGTGAAGAACAATAAATTAGAAAAAAAAAGATTAAGTAAGAGAGAGAAGACTTACAAAAATTAATTATTAAAAAACTATATAACTTCATTTATTAATTTAAATATTAAATTGAGTGAAGAGAATAAAGCAAGTACGCTTAAAGAATTAAAACAATTGACAATAAAAATAGAAAAATAAATAAATTAATAGTAAAAGAAACTATTTCTAAATTTTTTTTATTATAATTTTTTTTTACTTTTATTAATTGAATTTTTCTAGGCACTTGCCTGGTGTCCTTGGCAGAGCAGCCTCCTAGCGAGTGGCGGGGGCACTGCGGACAGGACCATCCGCTTTTGGAATACTCAAACTGGCCACTGCCAGAATGTAATTGACACGAAAAGCCAAGTGTGCAGCTTGCTATGGGCGAAGCACCAGCGGGAGTTGCTCAGCTCTCATGGCTTCAGCTTGAATCAATTATGCATATGGAAGTATCCTAGCGCAGTCAAGATCGCCGAACTCACTGGACACACCAGCCGCGTGTTGCATACAGCCCTCAGCCCCGACGGTCAAACGGTTGTCAGCGCCGCTGCAGACGAAACGCTTCGGTTGTTTTTTTCTTTATTATTTTAATCTATTATTTCATTCTCTGTTTATTTTTGGATTACAATGAAAGATTTTGGAAATGCTTTGAAGAAGATAAATTGAGAATTACTAATTTGAATAAGATGAAGATTCAAAATTTTAAGGGGCAGCCCGATTCCGGTGCAAAAATTCGTTGAGCAGAATGTAGTTGGCTTGACATTTTTCACCGGAGCGGTTTTCTTTCTCCTTTTTTCCCTTTTGCGCTTTTGCATTTGCTTGATAATATTCATCTCATTTTTTTATCAAGCAAAGGAAATTATTAAGAGTACCTTCTTTAAAGGAATTTGCTTTAAGCCCTCACAAGTGCACTCGAATTTTCTTAAAAGGAATTTTAGTTAAACTGTAGTAGTTATTTTTAATTATTGCACAGCATGCATTGTCTGCTGAGCTTTTAAGAATGTTTAAGATCGTTTAATCTTTCTAAAAAACTGTAAGTTTTTCTCGGGAATTTTTTATGCTTGACTTTCTTTTAAGAATTTTTTTTTGTTGCTTAAACGATGATATTATTTCATTCTGTGGGGCATCTGATTTATTTTAATGATTCAATGTGATTGTTATTGTTTTATACTTCAGTAACAATTTTAAAAGTATTTGAAACATTACATTTAAAATATTTTTAAAAAAGGAATCATCGAATTTCCGTTTATAAGAAAATTTTAGTTTTGAAAAATTGGATTATTATAACAATTCAAAATCTATTGAAGCACTATTGAGTGGACTATACTTTTATATATGACTGGAAGAACGACGAAGTTTATAATAGTCTTGAAAGCTAATTTTATTAAAAAAATAATTCTATCATAATTTATTATGAAGTTACTAAAAGACCTGTGGAGTGGAGCTTATTTTTAAGCATAATTGCTTAACATTGAAAAAATTATTTTTCTGGAGCTTTTGTTTTAATTTATATTAATATACAATAATGGAATTTAAGAGGCCTCATTTTTTCAAAGCATTTTAATAGTTACAAATTTGTTTGTTTAAAGTAGTATTTATCTATATTTTTAATTCTTTTGAAGAGATTGAATTTAGTTATTTGATATTGTATATTTGCGCCTTTAATAAAAAATTAGAATAATTTATTAATGGTTCCGATTGGCATTTTCTTAAAAAAGTTAAACAATTTTGTTTAACTTTTTTTTATGCTATTACTACTACTCTCAAGCTATTGTTTTTCCTTTTTTAAAGGGAATTGGTTATAATATATATTTCTATACTTGTTATTTGATTTTATAAATTTTCTTCGTTGATTTAAATTTTGTTAAACTCGTTATAAATATTTTTTTGTAAGATTAAAATTTCGTAAAAAAAAGGTTTTTATATTACTAGTAAAGTTAATAGTCAGTTATTTAACAAACATTTCTTCTGTTTTTTTAATTTATTTTTTAATTATAAGTATATATTTTTTTCATTAAAGTAAATTTGATAATAACCCAGGGGATCAATTTTTTAATTTATTGGTTGATTTTTTAAAAATTGCTTTGATTTTTATAAATTTTTTGGTTTAAAGTTGACTATAACTTAATTTTTGTCTAAAGAATTTACTTTTTAGATCTGGAATAACTATTTGTTTTTTTTATTGAGACGTACGCATTTTTGTTGGTCTTCGATCTTTATATATATTATTAGGGGAGTGTCGTCGCTTCGCTCTTCCTTCAAAGTTTATTGTTGTTTCTGGGTTTGCGAAAAAAGAAATTTGGAAGCCCTTTGAAACTTTTTAAATTCCAATTATATACTTTGAAACTTAATTTGAGTTTAGTTAAGCATGAAATTTTCTCGAAATTTTTAATTTGAAAGTTTTAATTTGTAAGTATTAATAAAAATTGGCTATTTTGTGCCCGGGTTTAAAATCTTGGTTAACTAATTTATAGAATTTACCAACTAAAAGCAAACTAGAATTCATTACTTCAAACCAGTGCTGGCCAATTATAGTGGAAGGCGTTTTACTACAGCGCTATAACAACAGAATGCACTACGTGGCGCTTGTTAATTCTAGAATAACAGTACCTTAAATAACTTTAGTGCTACTAAAAGAGCAGCTTTAGCGATTATTTGGTTCAACTCTTGATTTTTTTGACACTAGCTCCCTTAGTGATTATTAAAGTTATAATAAAATTTCTTAAAAGATAAGAATAACCCGAGCTACCAGCTTACAACAGCCCAAAAACTTGTAAAAGTGAAACGTTGAAAAGCACAAGAGCTCTTCCTTTTTCTTTTTCTTTTATTTACGTGAAGGCGTACAAACTAGACAACTTTGAAGCTATCTTGTTAAATTTCACACCACACCAAAAAGTTGGCACTTTGAGGGGTTAGGGAATGACTGAAGGTAGCAATTCTCTTTTATTTATTTTTCATAGTACTGGCTCACTAGAGGTTTGATTTATATCCAATTGCTGCTTAATCTACTTCCCCTCTATTACTCGAGGGTGCGGTGCCACAACTTTTCTTAAGATTCATTGCGCCGTGAACGAGGAAAATGAATGCGCTTTATTAACACAGCTAAATAGTATATATCAAGAAAGACGTAAAAGCAAAGTAATAACAATATTGTATTTAATGGAATAGCTAAATTTTGATAAGTTATATTATCAAAAAGTATATTTTAATAAGGTAAAAGAAAAAACTATAATCTTAAGGGCTCCTGCTTCCTGGTGAGGAGCTCAGACTCGGGGAGGCCGGCTAGCAGTGATGCTGGTCGGTCTTCAGGTGGCCTCGGGTCACGCGCCTAAGGCCGCTTCTTCTGGTGGTGACTTTTAGCGGACTTACACTCATAGGTTGAATGGCGGGAGGCCGGGGCTGATATGTTCCACTCTTTCAGCCCTTCGGGACAGACATTATAGCTCTCTAGAGATTACACTGGTGGGCACTCGCGCTCTAACCCCTGCAGAAGAGGGGAATTCAGATTAAGCGGCTTAAGGTCTCAGGAAAACCGATTGTAGTAGGCTAGTGCTAAAAAAAATACTATAAGCTTCGCCTTATTCCCCCATCTGATAGAGCTAAAATGTTTTGGCCGGAGGGTACTTGGTGTACTGGCGAGAGACAACCAAGTGACTGCTAACTCTAATAAGGCAGTTGCGTGTAATTATTTTATGAAGATATTCTTGAGTAGGCTCGAGGTTACACTCTCCATGTAGTTGGCTGTTGCGCACAAACCAAGGGGCGTCCACTACTATTTTCAGAAACGCAATTTTGTAGTATTTGTAGTCGCTGAATATGTTTGCTTAAGGGATTGTCCCAGGCAATAGAGGCAACAAGCAGCAGCGCATAACCGATTTGTATAATAGAAGCTTGTTTTTTACGTACAACTTTGCATTTCCTGCATAGTAAGGGACACAAAAACGGCTAGAGCTTGTCCGCTTTTAGAAAAGACGTAAGGAAGATGTGGAGTCCAGTCTAGTTTGTCGTCAAGCATAACTTCGAGTTATTAACCATCTTCCTCTAAGGAATGAAAATGTGGTTTAATGAGAGGCTAGGGGTCGGGAGAAGTAAGCCTCCTTGTTATAATCATAAACTTACCTTTCGACTCGATTTATTATAGGCAACTAAGCTGTTTCTATACCTTTACAAAATGTTAAAAAAAAATCATTATCTTTTATGTATATTCGTCTTAAATTTAAGATTCTTAGAAGAACCGTTTAATTTGTGTGTCTTTATAAAAATATGGGAGACAATTATTACTATCTCTGTATCTAATAATATTTATGTAACACAGTTCCTGCCAAACTACGTAATGCATTGATTTTTATAAATATTAGTTTATGATATTTTTAATTGGTTTATCTTTTAATTATTATATTTGTGTGGTTTATTTTTGTTTAAATGTATGTGTAATTTTTAATATAGTTGCCTACTCCACTGAATTATGATTAAGTTGTTTTAATCTTTGTAATCTTGTAGTTTCATCTAAAAACAGAGTATGCACCAAAAAATTCAGGACGCGATTTAATAACTGCTTATGTAGATTTGTGAATAAAATTTACTCAATTATGTATAATGACCTAATAAGCTCTCTCATGTTAGCGGGGGGTAATCTTTCTAGTACTAAGAAGGACCTTGTTTTTTTTAATTCGCAAGTGTATATTAATTTTATCATGTTGGGGAGTGGCTTAGAGTTCACTCCAAGTGTAGTGTGAGTTAAACTCAGGGATCCCTTGCTGTATAACAGGTTATAGTTATAAAATAAATCTCCAGAGTCCTCCTGCGTACTATCGTTCGCTACCTTATCCTAGTTAAAAACCCACCCTGATTATGGGCTTACGCACCTACACCAACGAGTAAAGTGCTTTCCTTAAACATTAACCCAAGTTACCTAGTTCAATTAGAATGGTATGCATTAACAAACCTTGGGACTTAGTTATCTTCCGTTTGTTTTACCTGCTCTGCTACTCTAGGCAATGTTTTAACAAAAAGTCCGTACGGATGAATAAATAACGTACGGTTATAAAAACTAACCCCTTATCATAGGTTATGCGAGCCATTGGTCAGGTTAACTAATTTCATGTTAATTGTATGAATTGATAAAATAAAATAAAGTAGAAGGCCGCGAATATACAAAGATAGGTTCGATGGCCGGATGTTTGTCTAATCAACCTAAAATATAAATATAGCAGTGAAACTCCAGGAGGATCCCTAAACTGATTTAAACTTGGGAACTTGGGCTTAGTACGGGAATATCGAGAATAGTTAACACTAATATAGCACTAACCATATGCACCACTCCCCCCAATTTATTAGGCACTACTCTAAGATTTTCACCAGAGGGAAGAAAGTAACACTCCTGAACAGTGCTAAAAGGAGTTACTAAGGGATCAGCAGAATTGAAGTTATCAGGATGACCTCAGTGATTTGGCTCGTAGAAAAAGAATAGCTAATCGAGATTCACAGGAATTTGCAATTACACGGTGGTCTTTAAACCCCACAAGTAAGGAGAAAATTTAATTCGACTCCGAAGCCAAGAGAGTTGTTAGATCCTTTTTCATGTAAAAGAATTAAGTGTACCAAAGTTAACCTTACTATTAAAAAGGTAACAAGTGCTAAAGCTAAAGCATCCTCAGATTCGATTTACTAGATCAGCTTCAATCAAGGGTAGCGAGCTAAGAAGTTTCGTGATTATTAAAGCACCCCGTAAAGATAGCGACCTGACTGGCAGAGTGTAGCGAAGAAAAGCAGTAGCTATAAGACATACCTTATGATGAAACCCTGAAAACCAAATGGCTGCCTAGAAGGGAAATAGTTACAGTAGTACAAACCTCTTCCTATATATAAGTAAATTAAAGTTCAATAGAGAAGGGGTTAAGGAGTGTAAGTGCTTGAATAACTACCCATAACAGATACCTCTCATTATAAGACCGATAGTATTAAAATCCCACATATCTTTTTAGCTAGAAATATACCAGTAGAGGTAACTTCAGCATAAACAGCTAAATCCATTAGTAACCAAATTAAAAACATGCCTATTAGTTAGTAATCAGCAGTTTCATTTAAAAATTAGAACCAACGAATTTAAGCTTGAA